GGGGTCTCTCAAGCAATAAACCTGTCCTGTTTTACCAAAAAGGTGTCATTAACATTCAATGCAATTTCTTTTAAACTTTTCTTGCTCTTTAAACTGTTTAAACATCCATCTCAACTTTAATGAGGAACGAGTGTCTTCTTAACAGAATATTGAGGATGTGCAAATTACTATTCATAACCAAACAGAATACATCATTCAACATTTCACAATAATTCATATTAACATTGAGAAAATATGCAAACGATCTTTGAAGTGTACTCAACGATAGCCATAGCAACATAAAATACATCTTTATTTTAGTTTAGTAAGATGGCGCCGACGCTGATGGCTGCCTCCGTGGCGTGCTCCCAAAAATAATTTATAATCGTCAAAGCTGTGTAAAAAGCATGCGTCATCTTTCAAAGAAAAGAAAATACAGAACTCACCAAATCCCGTTTTTAACAGTTCGTTAAACACCTGCTTCAGATTCAGGGGAGCTTCACAATCAGCTAACATCGGCGCTCAAATATATCACTCTTTTTAATCCTTTTGCATCGTTAGCGTGTTCTCGTGCTCATCACATCGCTCGCACTTCCGTGAGTCATCGGCTTACGTCATATGCAACTCGCGCTCAATTATAATACTGACTATTTTTATCTATACATAATTAAATCACTATGTATATTAATAGATCGCTTCAGTCTTTTAAATGGAAGTATAATTGCAATATACAATTATATTATTATTATTTATTTTGTAGGCACCACATTTAACATGGGTTACACCCTCCCCTCTTTAAATCTATGCAAGTCCCTTTGCATTGTAATTATATCAGATACTCAATGTCAGGGCTTACATCTTAGGGTGTTTAACTGATCTGGGTTGCTCTGCTAGGGTTTTAATGAAAGCTGTGTTCAACCCTTGCAAAAGAGATTGAATAATAGATATCATGGGATTGCCCAACTCAGGGTAAGTCAATCTTTTGGACTTCCTTAATCTACCTCCAGCTTCACATTCATCTGACTCTGTATCTTCCTCAGGTGCTTCAGATTCAACTGGATCCTCTCTGTCTCCTTTCACTGAAACATAAGGTATGGTTTTTCCATTTTGTTCTCTGCCATTGTTAGTTTCATTTTCCATTCTGGAATTAGCAGGTGAACTCATACTTTGTTGCCTGGTTTCAGACATACAACTTCTCTCTTCCAACTTTCTCCTTTCAGGTATCAATTCACTGTGCACAGAGGATGGTGCAGAGGAAGACTGAGTTTCAGGTGAGTATCCTGGTTCAGGTAAGTATTTATTATGCGTACTATCAATGACATTGCCTCTGGCAGGGTTTGAATCAGGTAGCATCTGTATTACAGATTCGATATCTCTGAGAGGAGATCTCTTGGTGCTCTAATGACTTCATACTCCTTAACAAATCTCACTGGACTGGTTGCGGAACTGGGCTCGAACTCTTGCACAAATTAATCACTGTCCTCTCCATCAAAATCCAGACATTGCTCTGAACCCTCGGGCTCTTCCTGATGTACTTTTCCTGGCACTGCTCGTCCTTTTTGCGGCTTGGGTGCCACTTTCTCTTCCTCCACATGGGGTGACAAGAAACCACAAGGCAATAATAAGTCCCTATGGAGTGTCCGCAAAGGTCCTTCTTTCCCTTCTGGTTTTACAGTATAATCAGGAAGTTCTCCAGCATGGTTTACCACAATGTAGACTTCAGAATCCCATTTATCAGCCAATTTGTGCTTCCCTTGGAGACACACATTTCTGACAAGAACTCGATCACCCACATCAAGTGAAGACTCTGCCACTCTGTTGTCATATCGTGTCTTGTTCCTTGCTGCAACCTTTGCTGCATTCTTCCTGGCAAGTTCATAACTCAAATGAGTTTTCAAAGTCTTCACATACTGGGAATGGAACTCATTATGGCTGTCATTTGCAGGTAATCTAAAAGCAAGATCTATGGGCAATCTAGGCTGCCGGCTAAACATTAACTCATATGGAGAGAATCCTGTGGTTTCGTGTTTAATGCAGTTATATTTAACAGTGTTCGGTTGAACCGCTCAACCGGGTTTCCCCTGGGATGATACGGTGTAGTTTGAACTTTCCGAATACCAGCAATCTCGCATAACTCCTTGATGGTCTCAAAATCAGGCCCTTGATCACTATGAAGCCTTTCAGGTACACCATAGTGTACAATGAAATTTTCCCAAAGGCATTTTGCAACGGTCTTAGCCTTCTGATTTGATGTTGGGATCGCTACGGCGTATTTTGTGAATTAATCAGTTATCACTAAGATGTCCTTTGTATTAGTACGATCTGGTTCCAAAGATAGGAAATCCATACATAATAACTCAAGCGGCCTAGAAACCTGAATATTCACTAATGGCACTGCTCTTTCAGGTGGAGTCTTTCTGCACACACACCGATTACATGTCTTGATCTTCACCTCCACATCTGTGGCCATCCTTGGTCAATAAAACCGAGCTTGAGCAAGATCAAGGGTCCTCTCCACACCCAAATGACCCATGTTGTCATGCAGTTGCTCCATGACAATAGGCCTCAGATCTTTGGGGAGAACGAGCTGGTAAGTTGTATGCTCACCGACCACTCTCTTTCTATAAAGAATACTATCCCTCAGCTCTAACTTTTTCCACTCTCGCAGAAGGAACGGGAGTTCCGCCAGCTCTTTCCTCAGTACAGGTAAGGACGGTTTTCCTGATTCCTGTTGTAAGATTACTTCCTGTATGGCTTTGTCAGCTCTTTGTTTGTCTTTCAGCTCTTGCACTGTCAGTTGAGGAACAACTGGAAGTCCTTCAAGGCACTCATAGGTCTCGGGGATTGCGTCTGAACTCACAGAAAGGGACTCAATAAGCGGAAGATAATCACCATCTTCAGCTGAGCGTACCAGATGTCTGTCACTGAGAGTCAGTGGGGACCAATATGGAATCACTTTCCTCATGTGAGTGGTGCAAGGTAAACTGATTTATACGCTCCTGCTCTTTCTGTGATACTCTATCATTGGTAAGCATTCCATGCAGGTGCCTAGACAGCCCATCCGCATCAAGATTTAGTTTTCCCGGCCTGTACTGAATTGGGAAGGAGAATGTAGACAGAGCAGAAAGCCATCTGTAACTTGTTGCATCTAGTTTCGCAGATGTCAATACGTAAGTCAACGGATTGCTATCTGTAACCACTTTGAAATTGTTTCCATATAGGTAATCAGCAAACTTCTCAGTGACTGCCCATTTCAGAGCTAAGAACTCAAGCTTATGGGCAGGGTAACAAGCCTCACTCCTTGAAAGTCCATGACTGGCAAAAGCTATTGGACGCAGTTCGCCTCCCTTCTGCTGGTAAATTGCAGCACCTAGCCCAGTGGTACTGGCATCAGTGTGCAACTCGTATGGCAGTTTGGGATCAGCAAACCCTAATACGGGCACTGTGGTAAGTTTCTGTATGAGCATGTCAAAAACCTGTTGACAACTTTCTGTCCATCTTCCTCCGAAAGGAACTTTGGGACTTAGATAGGATGTGCTCTTATTTTTGCCGCTCCAGTTCTTACAGAGAGGTGGGTATCGGACAGTTAAGTCGTTTAGCGGCTTCACGATCTTGGCATAGTCTTGGATGAAACAGCGATAATAAGCCCTAAGAAAGAACGTAATTCCTTGAAGGTTTTGGGACTTTGCCAGGTTTTAATAGTCTCTATCTTCTGAGGATCGGTTTCCACGCCATTCTGCGATACGATATGTCCCAAATACCTAACAGAGGTCTGAAGAAATTTACATTTCTCTACTGAAAGCTTCAATCCATACTCTTTCAGGCGATTTAGGACATGCAAAAGGCGGGTTTCATGTTCTTCCAGCGTCTTGGAGAATACGATCAAATCATCCAAGAATACCAGGACTTCAGTGAGGATAATATCGCCCATACACCTCTCCATAAGGCGTTGAAATGTGCTAGGAGCATTTGTTTTCCCCTGGGGCATACGGTTGATCTCCCAGAACCCCAGGGGACAAACAAATGCGGTTTTGGGCTTATCCTTCTCATCAACCTCAATCTGGTAATAGCCCGATTTAAGATCGAGCACTGAAAACCATTTGGATCCACGGAGTGCTGAGAAGGTTTCCTCGAGATTCGGTAATGCATAAGCATCCTTTATGGTCTGTGTGTTCAATTTACGATAGTCGATACACAGCCTCACATCACCATTTTTCTTTTTGACGACTACAATAGGTGATGAAAAGGATGATTCCGATTCTCGGATAATCCCAGCCTCAAGCAACTCTTCTAGATGCCAGCGAACTGCTTCAAAGTCATCAGAATGTATGGGCCTAGCCATGTGTTTGAATGGAGTCTCATCATGTAGCTTGATGCTGTGCTTCACTTTGTCAGTTCACCCAACATCAAGGTCATGTGAGGCAAAAACTTCAGACATATCCCGTAATTTCTGAGAAATTCTCTCTTTCCATTCCTTGGGTAATGGAGAGTCGCCGAAATCAAAACAGAGTTCCTTTGCAAGCTTCTTTTCCACCTTTGAGAACGCATCTCCCTTCTGATCATCCTTATTTGATATTTCTCTCTGTACGGCATGGACATCTGCAATTACGCTTTTTCCAGGAATGGTAATATCATGCTCTGTCTCATTTTTAAGTACTACAGGGACTTTGTGTGATGGGTGCTTAGGTAAGTTAAGCAGACAGCAAGCAACTAAAAGTCCTCCAGGTACCGGAGAATAAGAGGGGGGTTCCATCACTACCCACTTGTCTATCTCTTGTCCTCTTACTGTTACAACTCCCTCCAAGACAAGATTCTGCCCTGCAGGTACAACAACAGCATCAGTTGTAGGGAGTCTGACAATCCCTACATTACTGTTTACGCTTTGATTCCGTCGATACTCAATCGTTCTTACTACTGCTTTATAGCCAAATGGAATGGACTTGCAGACAGAGTCATTGGTCTCAAGATGCTTCCCATATGCCAAGTCTAAAGTATTGGTACCTATGAGCACTTTGGGCTGAGCAGTGCCACTGGTATCCGGAATAACCAGCGCAAGAGTCGACACTTCCACGACACCTCCAAGAAAATCCTCAGGAAACTTGACCTTCATCCTTACATAACCCAAATAGGGTACTACCGGTCCATTGGCAGCCTCCACTTCCAACAGATTTTCCAAGGGGATTATACTTAGCTCAGGCAGGTTTTCCTGATGAAAAGATTGGGAGATTGTCGTCACTTGCGACCCTGTATCCAGAAGGCACGAACATGGCTCTCCTATGTACACTTTAGCAGTACACTTGGCCCCTATCAGCACCTTTGGAAGGCTGGCTAACAGACCTCTGCTATGGGAACCCTCTAAATTACCCCTTTTTCCTGTAGACCCTTTGAGACTAGTTTTGCATATGGTAGCCCTTGTACGTCTCGCTACAGGGGCTAATTCCAGTTTAAAGACTCTGAGACCTCTGAGCTCTGCTGGTGATCCCACAGGCTCTGTCGTTCCCTCAGCTGCTTACGTTTCTCATTTAAGATGGATTTGGATCACTCTCGCAAGCATATGCGATATGTCCATCTTCGCCACACAGGTCTTTCTTGTGACTTTTGGACCATGGTTGAAGTGGTTGGCTGAGTGGGTTTAGAGTGAGTGTGTTTGGTCTCACGAAGGTCTCTTTTTTTTTAGAGGCTTCTGGGATTCTAACTTTGTGAACTGACTCTGAAGTTTTGCAATCTATTTCTTTAAATCGAGCACCTCATCATTCTGCAGTAACAGAGTTTTTTCAGTCTGTTTAGCTTTCTGTTTACTGAGTTGACTGAAGTTTTATGACTTGCCTCCTTAGATCTGTAATCTCACTCCCTTCTGATGTCATGTCTTGCTCAAAATCAAAGGAGCTTGCGGATGCAGCATTGGAGCTGACTTTATGACGATTCACATTCAGATGCTGGCGCATGCTCACTCTTTGGCAGAATGTCGATTTTCTTCACTGCGCAACTGCAAAAGCAGTTCGGAAAATGAAGGTGGGCTATCTCGTTTACTCTCAAGTTGGAGGGTTGATATTAATGCATCATTCCAACAGCCTTGGCAGAACTGTTTCAAGAGCTGCTTATCAGCCTCAGTACTGGAAATGGCACTTCTTTTTATTGTT